GGAACTTTCATGCAACTAAAACCCTTCTTTAACAACAAAGCAGTCTCTCAGAAGACCAAGCTGCGCACCTTCACCGCCATCATCAAAAGCATTGGCACCTACGCGATACCAAGGTGGGGACGCTGCAAAGAGAAACCGACTCAAGGGCATCCAAGGCCCTTTCATAGAGATTCTGAGGTTGGTCTTGGGTATTCTGTGGTATATCAGAAATACTCAGATTATTTGGCAGTTCATGATCGTCCCTCCAATTTAAGCAGCCACTGTTCTTGCGTCAAAAATCCGTGCCTCCATTACGGACCACCCAAATCCCACCATCGCCGCACTTGCGAACCTCTAACCTGGACGCTTCGACCTTAAACGACGTCCATGCACTCTCACACAGAACCCTGAGGACCCCCAAAATAATCTAGGTCTTCAATTCGCCCTGCTTCCATCGGACGCATCTCCATAATCTCGCCAAAATAAACATGACTTCAATCCGTACGCCCACCTTCTCTCACCCTTCTACCCACCGTATCCTTTACGGCTTCAACCATATACAACACTTACGCTAATCACAAGTACGCTCCAAAATACGTAATACCCAGCTGACTCATACATCTACACACACACACATAATACAGGATTCTTCTTAGATTTTAGCTACTGTTTCAGTTAATTAGAATATTTGTACTCCTTGCGATTCTACTTCATCTATTTTGTATAAGATTGTTACTCTCATACTTACTCGTAAGCTACATTGGTTAATCTCTTTTTTATTTTGTTTGAGATAAATATATTTACTGTACTATTTTCTGAGGGCTAGACATGGTTTCAACCACAAGGCCTCAATAAAGTTACAATACAATACATACAATAACACTAAATTTAAGCTTTTCTAACTCTATTCCAGCGCAAGCCAACATTCGAGCTTCGCCCAGATGCGTAAGTGCCTCTCCTCTTATCCCTTCGAGAGCGAGCTGGCCTCCGAAATTATCTGTTATTTTCCTTCTTTCTTCTTCTCTTATGCTCTTTTGTCTTCTAGGGGGGTGGTCCTTACCGACCTGTCCCTTTAATTGGTAGGCACATTGGGTAAATTCGACACTACCACTGGATTAGCTGGGGAATCTATAAAGATTTTTCCCTCCCCGCTCTTAAAAAAAAAAAAAAATCATTAAAACTAGAATCCGACACCTAAATCTGAAATTCACTCAACTATGATGATAAAGCAATGGTTTGGCACATCAGATAAGGACAGGCATCCTCAAAAAATTTTTGGAAAAGATTTCCTGTGCATTAAGATTTACAAGATGCAAAATTCAATGAGTCAAGTATAAAATGTGAAGTTTGCATTGTCTTAAAGTTCGATAAACTATCTTTCAAACAAATTAGATACAGAACAGTTAGACCACTCAAAACAGTTCATGCAGGCACGATGGGCCCCATAAGTCCATCAAGCCATGCCAAGGGGCTTAAACTTATCTCAGTATTCTTATTTTATTTATGGTTTGTCACGTATAGGCATTGCTTATCCAATGAAAAGTAAAACTATAACGGCTTACTGTTTTAAGTCTTTTGTGAAAATTATTTGAAGCCTTATGGGGAGAGAAGAAAAAGTATGCTGTTTGAAAAGTGATTAGAGCACAGAATTTACAAGAGGATATACGCTATAAGTGTAAGAAAAATTAGGAGCAGAAGTATAGTTAAGTAATTACGATACACCAGAGCACAATGGCGATAGCCAAAAGATGAAATCAGAGTATTGAAAAAACATAACCTCTACTTTGTTTAAAATTAAACCAGTGTTAGGATTGAACGCTTTGGCTACCTAGCCTATGTATGAGTTCAAGGAAGAACTAGATCTAAGTTTAACCTATTACAAAAACGCGTCATATTAGTAGGATACAGGTTGACAGGGTATCTATAACTTAACTAGACAAGGAAAAGTCTGACGAAAGTAGTGATGTACAATTTAACCAGAAGCTAGTCTGGGAAGATGGATACAATATAGCTAGTAAAAAGGATTTGGAAAATTTATTAAATGAAACCAACTACAAATAATGGTTTGTAAAGTAAAAAAAAGTGACTAATAAATTTTAAAGACGGAGGAAGAAAAACGCAAAAAAGGTCGACCAAAGAAGTTTGATACAAACTAACGAAAAAATAATGATACTGACTAGATAGACGACATTCTACTATAAATTAAAAACAAAACCGTACTTTGAACAGGAATACATGGGAAAAGACAGTGAAATCTAAGATAGATTCTATAAAAAAGAGTAATACGTGGAATATAGTTGATGGACAAAAAGCTAGAGAAAAAGATTGACTAAATGTGATTGATTTTATATGGCTGTTAAAAAAAAAGATAAAACCAGAAGAAAACATCAAACAGAAAGTTAAATTAGTTTGAGGCTTGTACAATAGAAATAAATATGAACAAAGTGAGACATGCTCGCCTTTCTCGTCCATGCAGATTATCAAATGTGCAAGTGCCATCATAAAAAAGTTTGATTTAGAGGCATGCCAGCTAGAAGTAAAAATAGCTATTTAGAATGAAACGATAGATTATGAGATTTACATGGAAATATCTGAAGGGTACGAAGTTACTGCAGAAACCAAGTTAGAAAAAGTATGCAAGATTCAACAAACCTTGGACGGCCTAAGATAAGTCCAAAAAGAAGGAATAAGAAAATTAGACAAGTAGTCCATTTACTTAGAGAGGGGAGAACAGGTTTCTAATGCTCCTTATATATGTGGATGACATATTAATTAATAGTAACAATATTTGGAAGCTATAAGAAACAAAGAACAAATTAGTCCACGATTGACATAACTGACATGAGATAGCCAAAACCATACTTAGGAATAAGTATGAAGTGAGGTAGATGCAATCACACTACAGTTGTCACTTTAGAAGAGTGAACTGATAAAATGTTGAAGTGCTTCGACTATAGTGAGATGCATCCCTTGATAACACCCATGGTCACCAATCAAGTGGTAAACAAAGAAAGGAGAGTTAGAGAAGAGCTAGAAAATAAATTAGGAATTTAAATAGATAGTAAACGAGAATTGGATAATGGAAAACAAAAGAAACCGTAGAGAGAATTAGTGTGATCTCTTTTATTGTCAGCAAACACGGCTCCCCCGGATATAGCATACGCTGTAAATGTCTTAAGTAGACGTCAAGTCAGTCTCACCGAGAATGAGTGGAAAATGATAAAATGAGTCTGCAGGTATCTAAAGCACTGAAGAGAATTAAGAATTGAGTATGAAGGAAAACTAGATGACCTGCCAGGCTTTCCAGAGGCCAGCTTTGCAGACTGCAAGGACTCACTGACGACGAGCAGCTTTGTAATAAAACTGTTTAGTAACTTAGTGGCTTGAGGACCAGAAAACAATTACATGTAGCTAGGTTCACATGTCAAGCTAAGTATGTGGCTATAAGTGACGTATGTCAAGAGATGGTATTTCTTCAGAACTCACTGTCACTAGTTATGACCAACTCAGTTCTGCTTATGACATCATGGTACGATAATAAAACAGCTGAAGCTAGTAGTCAAGTAAGTAATAGTAACAAGTTAGAAAAAGGCATAGAAAAGATGTACAGGACATTATGTTAAAGTATGTGTAGCTAGAAATCTAATAAGTTAGATAAATGGAGTCCCAAGATCAGGTTGCTGATATTATGACAAGGCCTCTATAAGACTTAATATGATTGTAAATAATTTTTATTGTGTTTTCAAAAAGAAATTGTTAGAGATGCTGATTTGGGCATGCTATAAAGAGAGAGAATGCTAAGTTGGACTTGGTGTGCCAGTTCGTCAGCGCTCAATAATACAGTGGCATCTTCTTGGATGCACATGACCAGCAGAGAAAAAAAGCGTAACGGCGTGATTGCGCTGCTTGCTTTTTCTTCTACTTCTGTTCTGTCTCTCAGCCTATTCGATCGTATGTTCAACTTATTTATTAGAATCTGCACATGTACACGCACGTCTGCGTTCCTTGACGAATTGATTTTGTTTCGTTCTTAGGATCACGTTATCACATAGGAAGTCTGGATGTTATGTTACTGTGAAAGCAAATTAAAATGATGGTTATTTTTTAAGTACTTTTTTTACTGATAATATGTAAGACTTACACGGTCTCTTTTTGCTTTTAGTTTAAATGATCATAGTTTATCTTTGATGGTTTACTCTAAATGTGACTCCACATTAACGCAAGACCTTTAAATTTTGAAAAATGATCTTGATATATTAAGATAAAATAGAAGATTGTAAAACGGAAGATTGTAAAGCTGTGAGGTTCTTAAATTTGCTTGGCTTACTGAAATTCTAGTGTTATCTTACCTATTTACTTTTGCAAATGAGTACTAAATATGCAGTCTGCGTGGCAGCCAAGATACAATAATACTAGCTGTTGTTTAATATAGGCATTTCTATTTAATACAAGCGTTGTATTAATGCAAAGAGCTCGATTTTCTTTCAAAACATTTTTTACCTACACACATAAGAGACAAAGATAAATCTATTTTTAATATTTCTATAAAATTAAATAAATTATAATCTACTGCACAAGTGTGTAAGTGGCGAAGTGTTTTACAATTGTAGTAAACAACTTTGATTAATATGAGTGTTTCTGCTACAACAGTCTGCTAGGTCAATGGTCTGTTAATAGTTTACTAAATTAGTTTATTATAGTGAATAATAAGCTTTCGTCATGCCAGTGCCTCTTGTGATCAATTTAACTGCTAGAAAGGGTCCTCAAATATATTTATACTTACTTCTACTACACTAAATAAAAAAGATCGAAAGATAGATAAAGATATTAAAAAATATAAACGCCCATGTGGTATGTTTACATTAGTTTATATCGGTTTGATTCAAGAGTGGTGTCATGTACATAGTTGATAAATAATTTTTATTGTGTCAAAAATACTTAGTTTTCTACTTCTAGTAATAATAAGATAAACTTGTTTCAATGACATCTTCATGTATTAAATTCATTTTCTTCTACTGCAGGAATATTAAAGAAGTGGCAGCTCATTTTTTACGGAACGGCATCCAACCCAATCAGAATCAAAAGTCGTCAAAATAAACCAGTTTATTCAGCTCCTGACGCTAACTTTAATTTGGAGCGTTATTCATTGTTTCAAGAGCGGGAGCAGCAGAGTGATACAATAGCTGCACCGGTGTTTGACCATCTAAATCCTGAGTTTTTTTCTTCTCGGCTTCATAGTTACCAAGGTCCCTACACCGTAGCAGCATCTCAACTTGAGGCGTCAATGGCATCCTTCGATTCTTCAGAATCTATAATGACTAATCATTTGCCCATAGAAGAAGCGGTTGAAGCGCAAGAAATAAAATTTTCTACTTTGAGTAAGCCAAGACTCTCTTCTAATTGTGATCCTCAGTGTGATAGTCAGGGTTGTTATGGAAGAGAGCCAACACAGTGCGTCTCTTGCATTAAGTTTCGTCTTGACAAGTAAGTTACATTTTTTTAATTTCAGAGCAAAAACCGCGTATTTATATAATCCTACTCTATGTTGACTGTAATGCCACACAAATATTAGGATATTTTGAATAACATTCAGCCATCAAATTTACTTCACACAGTCTAAGCTTGAGCTTAAGTATGTATATATTCTATCACTGATATGTGTGGCCTTTATTTCTATTTTTACTACAAAAACTATTCAAACTACTGCTTGACACGACAATTGCACTATTTTAAATAAAATTGTAGTGCCCAATATTTTTAACAATAGAATAAAAAAAAATTTTTTAATGTAAACATCAATATCTATCAAACTACTTAATCTTAAATTGTAAAGTTAGCCAGTTAAAAGAGTTCACAAATTTTAATTTTTACTAAAACTAGAGTCAACAGTCAATAAAATTGTATAAAAATTTTACTTTGTAGTTTACCTTTCTAATTTAGCTGTAAATTCAAATATTAAAAATAAAAAAAGTTCTGACTTGCTTTGTCCTACCTGTGAATTCAAATTTGCAAATGTATGTTACCGTCAATTCGTAAAAAATAACAACTCTTCAAGGTACATAACATTTAATTCTCAATTGTCTAAGGTTACGTATTTAAATATAAAAAGATCACTTTTTAAGCGATGTACCATTAGTTTTTACTTATTTTTCTCATTTCTTAAGGACCCAAATCCATCAGATTCATGTCATGTACCTTAAATCGAAGATAATTATAAAAAAAACTTATCTACTCACAGTACAGCCACAAAAAATTAGAAAGTAACATTTATCACGTAGTTTGGAAATAATCCTGTATGGTTAAAGAATACCACTTTAAATAATTTTTTAAGCTCTCTTATACTTGCCGAAAAAATGTTAGTTATCTTTTAAAGGCAATCAGCAGTGCATATTAATGGTGCAAAAGTTATGAAGCCCACCAGCGCTTAACGTAACTAAAAGTTGTGTGATCATATTTTTAAATTTTTTGACGGGATACAAAAACTATAGGAATATAGACCAGATGCCTTAACTTCTGAAGTACAACATCTCTGCGGTGTAGGGGAAAGTTATTGGTAGCTGAGTGGGAAAGCGCTTGTTACAATTTTGCTGGTTTTTCCTTTAAATCATGGCTGCGTACTTTCTTTCTTTTCTTTTTTTTGGCAAGCCAAATAGATATACTAATTTCATAAGCGATTTCTACTTATTCGTGATAAATAAATTCATATACATTTAGATAATAATTTGATAAGCTAAATACATTGACTAATTTAATAAATAATTTATACTTGTTTTTATATATCTCCCTATATTATATAGTTATTTGTGTGGGGCATTCCACATATCCCCTCACAGCCCCTTCATATCCCCTCCACAGACCACCACAAACCTTCCATATATACCCCACAAATAAGCTAAAAATTCGACAGTTTTTACCTTCAAATCAATATTTTCCCTTTTTTTCTGAAACCCCCCATAGTTCTCCCGCAGCCCCCTGCACATTTTTTCTTGTCCCCCCATAGACCCCTCACACCATTTTTTTTCCCCCACAGCCCCTTCACACTCATTTTCTTGTCTTCCAAAACCTTTCCATACCAATTTTCTTGTCCCCTTACAACTTTTTCTATCAAGTATGAATTCCCCCTATTAACAATAAAAATTAATTTTACTTAGTTTGAAACAATTCATTGAAAAGTCTAAAGTTCTCGGTGCATTCAACTTTTTTTGAGTTACTATTATTTTAAAACAATGCAACATACAATTAGATATCGGTAAGTCTTTTACAAATCGAATGGATTTTGACCTTCACCTCTCTGATTCAGCTAAAAATTTTTTCCAGTTTCTAAATAAAAAAATAAGAGATACGTGTCCAAGAAATTTTTGTTCATCGCCTATTTTTGATTTTATAAGTTGTAACAAATTTCATAATAGTGGTTGGAGACTCATTTTAAACAATGTATAGCTCCGAATCCTTAAGAGCTACAAAATTTTCACCAATGGCACTTTCGTAGCTAAAGTCTTGAACTTAAAGGAAGAAAATTGAAATAAAATTTTTAACAAATTAATAATGTTATTNATTTTCCACAAAATAAATCGAGTTTATATCATTATCATCGTCATCTGCGTCAAATTTTACGTAAAGATCATGTTTTTAAAAAATGAAGACTTTTAAATTGTTATTGTTAAAATATTAATTTACATAGCGTTTGATGGTAAGAAAACTGTTTTTTGGGTATAAAATGATATCTGTACCTCGTACCAAAAAAGTTAAATGTAAAAGTTGTAGATAATTAAATGATCTACAACTTTTATATTCACCATTTGTCCGTTTAACCTTAAGATTTTGTATTATCATGCAAAAAAGTAAGAAATTACCATTCTATAAATTATTCAGAGTAATTTTTTTCTTGTAAAACGGAGATGAGCAATATTAACTGAAGAAATTATATTTTATTGAATTAACAAAGATGTGTAATAAAAAATTTAAACGTTATATTTGCTTAATATTTATTTATAGATGTAACTAAATTTTCATATACAAGTGTAACTTTTTTTACAGTTTCATAACAAAATTATGTCACTTTAAAATTTTCACAACATTTATTGTTTCGTGCAAAGAAAACAGCCTCGCTTCTAATTCTTAACGAGATAGTGGAACCATGCTATGATATTTTAGGGCTCCCTTAATCGTTGTTGCTCTCAAAAATCTCTCTGATACTTATTTTCTTTCTTCTTCGTAGTCATTATTTGTAAAATAATAACAAGTTATATTTGACAGTGATTCTGTGGCCCAATAAAAAAACTCTCGCGGCGTTCGAATAGTATTGTTAATTCTCTGAAGACTTGCTCTGGCAGCTAGTCGTTTTACAGTCCCGCCTAATCCGTCGCATGGCCCCTTTCAACGTAAAGTGGAAAAAAATGCCACTCTGCTGTTATTTTAAAGTCTTCAAAGTGATGAGTAACATTAATGAGGTTCTTTTTATTATTATACTGTTCACTCGCACCGTCAGGCATGTATATTACTTAGTTAACACACGGTAAATTTATTTTATTAAATTCAATCAACTGCTTTTGATATAGATGTACGGCAATAATGTCGTGATGTATTAGGTATACAGAAATACATCAAAACTTGAAATTTTTAATTCATACAAGTCATTCCTATAATAAATTAGAAATGGGTGTACGGTTGCCTGATCGTTGTTTCAATGTACCCTGAACCGAATTTTGAATTATATAAGCATAGTTTTCTAAGAAGTCGCAAATAACAATACACTCGTTTTCTCCCAGTTTATTTTACATCTCATTTAAAACATTCCTTTGTTTGTTAACAAAAAATAAATGTATCAACAGTTTTGGCAAACCTTCTCTTAACTTCTGTAAAAATTTATCAACTGGAGAAATTAGGGTCTGCTATGAGGTTCTTTCAGCCGTAACCCGTTGTTTTTAGGTAACAATTTCAATAAATTTTCCTTTAAAAATTTCCTCCAGTTGCTCAATAACATTCGTCACACCTGGGCACTTTTTACAAGAATTTAAATAACAATCAGCCGTCTTGTTTTTTCATACCATACGATTTAAACAATCCTTATAATTGATCAAAGGCAGCTCAGAACTGGAAGTAAGTGATTTAAAATTGGCACCACTTAATAATAAACTAACTCTTTCGTGTATAGGACATACACAAACAGAGTGAGTACCAGAAGCACCTGCCAAAACACAATATTTTGGCCTTAAGCTGGCAAACTTTGAAAAACTACATTTGATAGTTAAATACGTACTAGTAAAAATTTTATACAATTCTTTTAAATTATTAAATACTAGTCTTTTTTGAATAGGTACCGATTTGCCGTCTACTTTTATCGAAACGTAATCTTTTTTTCGGGCATATATTGAGCGTAGTCGTCAGACGGGTACAAGCTAACAAATGTATGGACAACATTCTCATCTAGAGATGCATGTTGTTTTTGGTTTGGATCCCCAATTAATCCCTTATCTTGAGCAATATTTTTTGCTATGCCTATCATGTGACGAGTTGCGGAAAGAAATGTGTCCTCAATTTTTTTATAAAACCAAGATCGAAAAGTAGTCAGAATTTTAATTTTATAAACGCAGTTGGCTAAAGTATTATAACTTTCTTGCAAAGCACATATTGTCAAGGACTCGTTGTCATCTGCTTCAAGATCATCTGGATCATCTGGGCTTAAATTTAAAATTTGTTTATCAATCGTGGACAATATTTCTTTTGATTTTTCTTCTAAATACTTTTTTGACGATAGTTTTTGTTTTTTGATGAGCAAAGATCTTAAGAAGCTTAACCTTTATTGAAAAAATTCCACTCGTTTACTTTGCAAAAAATGGATCATCTCCCAAAAATATAGATGTACCATTGCTGCTCCCAACTTTTATATCAGATTCTTAACTCGAAGAGTCCTTCTTATGTAGCATCTAAAAAAAAAATTAGACTAAAACATTGACATAAAATTCTACAATATGTTAGGTATGTCTGAACTCAATTTAATAATTAGAATATTGTACTTAATAATTCTGGTAGTTCATTTTCACTCTCTTTTGTACTTTCTTTTTTTAACTTTGATAACTTCAAGCAGCAAGAAGAAATAATTTTTTGTTGTAATGCATCTGACAAAATTGCCAAGTCCAGTTTCAAAAGTTGGTTTTTATTTTCTGTTCTCAAACGAGAAGTGTTTGTTGTTAGATGTTTGAGGTTAAGAGGATTAAAACATTTGTCTGATCGATAACTAGTATTTTGCATTTCACGCGCCTTTTTAAAAATTTTATTATTTGAATAAGAGGTGTACTCGTTATTCGATGATAGTGTAACACTATCCATCGAACAGTTGTTGATTTAACAAAATATTGAAAAACATTGATTCTCTAAGATCCAACTTACATGAATGTTAAAAGTTCTCATTTTCCTTCCTCAATTTTCAATAGTTATTTCGAAAATTTTTTATCGTTAGAACGAATACTGATTTTTACTTTTAA